TTATGATAAAACACTTTTTTCAAATGCCACTGGGTCCAGGCAGGCATTTACTAGCTACAGGGGCAGCAATCAGTTTCTTCAAAATTTACTGTTCTAAGCCCATTAGAGTTCCAGCGCAGCAAGGCTCTGCGATGGAAATGGAAAGTGCCTGTGTTTGTGTGGGGAGGCTGCATGCAAATGTTCCGGGCTGAGCTCCTACCCTTTAGTGTTAGGATGCTTATCAACAGATTTACGTTAACTTGCTCGTAAAAATACAGTTTGTTTTTAGTTGGTGAATATGGATGAGAGAATGAAGATCCCAACCGTTCCCCTGATTGGGGACCCAGGTAGAAGTGAGGTGCAGTAGCAGGGCCCCAAAAATATGTTCTCATGGGCGAGGAGAGCCCATTGGGTGACTGACTGATGTGATGGCAAGGAGAAGTGTCCCCTTCTTGGGCCTGGCCCGAGCTTGTTGGCACAGCGGGCACATTGTAGTCAAGTGTTGTAATGTGTGAAGGGGTTTTTATGTGTGAGACGTTGGCAGTGGCATCCTGCCTGCTGGTGTTCCAGCACAGAGCTCTCACAGACCCCATCCTGTACAACAACACCGAGCTACGCCATTGTCCACGCTGCTGATTTACATGTGCTTTTCATTTAAAAAAAAAAAAAAAAAAAAGGAAGATTTTTATGCTTCTGAATTCCCCTTCATCTAACAAAAAATTCACCTTCGGCTGAACTGTGAAAAATAACTCTGAGCTGTGCTGTTGGAGGAGAGGAGGTGCCGACCTCCCAGGCCTGGCCGCGGGTGGCCCCTGCCTGTGGGGAGACAGCTGAAACCCAGAGCGGCGTTTCTCGGATCTGTGTTCTCGCTTTAACTCTGTGTTAAAATGCCTTTGCATGAGAACAGGCCCTCAACTGCAATCCCTGCCCCTTCTCTTCATTCTTCCCGAATCCGAGCCTGTCAAGGATTACAGTGTGCAACCTCTGCTGACAGCAGATAAATAACTGACAGTATTTTAGCAGAGTTGCTAGGTTCTCTGCAGAGTAATTTGTTTTCTCCTTTCTCACCAAGTCTTTAATGTTTTGTTATAAACATCTATAGCAAGGCAGTGTTAATAGAAATGACTTATAGCCAGAGGTCTGGATAAAAGGCTGTGATGGTTTCCGAGCGTCTCTCTGTGACAGCGGCTCTGCCAAAGAATTAGTTTTCCCTCCGTGTAAATGTGCTTTGGTGGAAACAGACAGCAAAATTGCGATGATCAATGGACAAAGTCCCCAGATTTGATCAGCACCGTCTACTGTCTCACAGGTTCTCTTTCCAAGGTAATAATGTGCGCTCTCAGTGCATGTGGAGGTGATGGTGGTCACTGGTGTGGCACAATCCTTTCTCACCACAAAATTTGCACGCAAGCATTTATGTGCTTGCATTATTCCCTCTTGCTGCCCGCCAGCAAGGCCAGGGGCACCTGCCAAAGCTTTTGCTGTAACTGAGGCTACGCCAGCTTGTTCCTCCTCTCATATTGCGTTTGAGTGTGGCAGTGAATGTGCAAAGTTGCAAACCCACTGCACCCCAAACCATAGCCCACATCGTGCAGATGCCACATGCTGAATGTATTACTGTAAAATTCTGGGCTCTTTACTCCTTTCTTTCATGGAGAAGACCTGCAGTGTTTCTTTTAATTCAAGGGCCTCATGTTCTTTCTTTCTTCCCTGCCTGTGCTGTATCATCTCGATAACGGAAAGTTGTCAGAAATCAATTCTTCTTCCCCTAATTGCATGGGTGCGATAAAAGATCACACGTGGAATCAGCGAGAATTTACACACACACGCAAACAAATAGCTCTTATCAATTCTTGTGAAAAATCAGATAAACCCATTATCTCACGTTGTACGTAACTGTGTGTGACAAGAGCGTGGGGAAGGAGATACAGGAGCATGAGGAACTGCAGTGGAAGTCACGATGAGGAAATGCAGAAGAGAAAAAAAACCCAGATTGCGGAAATTTATCTGCAGATTTCTGGTCTAAGGGAAAACGGTGTGCGCAGAGATAGCGCCCTGCCCCACTGCCTGGTTTGAATGTGGAGCATCACTGAACCCAAAGAGCTTAAGAAAGGAGTCTGTGGAGAAAAGCTTGTTTTGTGTGCACCGTGTGCCCATCACTGCACTGCCACATGGCTGCCCACCCCAAGGACCTTTGCTCAGAAGTGTGTCTCTGATAGTACAGCCAGCTTACTTTCTTCTGGGAGGTGACAGTGATGAATCAGCGAGCTGAGCACAAGCCCCCTGCAAACTGCAAAGAAGAGGAGCCTATGAGGGCATATTTTTAATTGTAGCACCTCGTGACTTTTCATCTCAGCAGTGCCATACAGAATTTGTGTAGTTCATGTGTTCAGCTTTAATGGGAATTCAGAATTCAGAAGTGTTTAATACACAGACTCTCGAGAACGCAGTTTCTTTAATACACAGTGAATCTATACCCAAGTCATATTTTGCTCACACTGCAGAATAAATTTATCCCACC